CCATTTCTGGAGCAAGCCTGTTCCAAGGGGGAATGTTAAGTTCCATAGCTTCTGGCCTTTAACCTAGCCAGACTGTAGTGGTCTTACATTAATCAGACCTGCAAATAGTGGTGGCTCACTGGGATTAAGGCCCAAGGCACCTGGTGATGAGAATGGTGGTGCCAGCTCTGCTCCCCTCAGTGTCTGTGTAGCATAGAGGTAAGAAATGGGCGTGCTGGTTAACGGTAATGTTCACCTGGACCTAAAAGGGCAATTGAGGAGAGGTTGCTATTCTAAGTCGGGGAAGGTGAAGCAAGACACAAGGGTACTGCCATTTGCATTTTATACTCTGAACAGGGTGGTGGCACTAGTGCATTTGTTGAGAGACTGTCCTTATCTCCAGACATGGGTGAAGCCACCTGGGACACATAATTCAAAGTAGTTTCTCCAGCTGGGATTTCTCCCAGGGAGTTCATGTAGTTTTTTTCTAGTGCCTTTAGTAAATTTTCGGGTGAGGTCAATAGTCCCAGCTGACTTGGTAGGGCTTCTGGGGGTACTGGAGCATGACCACAAGAACCACAGTCAGAAGCTGCCTGATTATAGGTGTAATTCTCAAAACAGATGCAGGGTCCAGGGCCAGAGTGGTTCTTTTCTGTTGGAAGGAGGTACAGGTAGGTAGGCTTAGTCGATTCTGTTTCTGTGAGTGACTTCCTAGTGCCTAAGGATGGTATCTTAATCCCTTCTGGCTTGTTTACAACTTCGATAGCATCTGGAATGCAGTCGCTGATGTTCATTATTGTTCTGTGAGGGTTCTCCTGGAAAAGAAACAAAAAATATGTAAATATGAGTGTGTGTGTGCGTGGGTGTGCGCATGCATCAAAGTATATTAAGTATGTGAAATGCACTTAGAGCTTCAATTTTGTTCCTGTTTCTTCCTGGTCACAAGTTACCTGGAGGTGTTGTTGAAAGCCAAACGATTTCCTCTGACAGAAGAAACGAAAGCTCCAATTACCTATTTCATGGCTGTGGGAGCAGAGGGGGCTTTTACTTTGTTAAATTTTCCTGAGGACGCCGGGCGTGGTGGCTCACACCTGTAATCCTAGCACTCT